TGGCACTCAAGAATTTCTTATACATACACCCAACTTTGTTGGTTTCCTTATCCGGGTTATTCCTTTCTGCCACTGTGGGTTCCACTTGACTGACAATACGACTGTAATTTCCTTCCTCTGACTTTCTATCATTTAGTTCAGGCCATTCAAAAGGCATTTTAGGTTTACTCCTGTTGTTCAGCAATAGTTATCTCATTTCTTCCCTTTGTTTAGCCATCATTTCCTGAATCCTGGCTTGTACTCCTGCAATTGTGATTGGTTCTGGTGCAACTTCTACTATCGGCACCTGCTCAATCACTTGGGGTTGAGGTTGTTGATTCCTATTCGCATTTCCAGTTCCACTTCGGGTTCTTTCCATTTTGATCTATACACCAAATTAGGAGAATTTATATCTTTATTCACGATAGACATTTAAATTCTCCTTATCACTCCGAAACGTTACATGCTAATTCTAATATCGTAGTCATACGCTTAGAATCTTGAACACATAAGGTTTCCAGATCTGGTCAGCAACAGACCATAGATCCGTAAAAATAATAGCATATATGGCAAACATATAGCATTTAGCACATAAAAACGTTTTAGACATCTTTCCTAAAATATACTAGTGCATGTGTCTAAAGTATGCTAGACACTCATCTCACGATCATCGCTTAGCATTCTAAGTTTAAGTCTAGAAATCCTACAAATTCCTAGTTCACCTAAATTAATGCTCTGATACCAACTGTGACATCACCATTCTCACGGCCAAAAAAGACCGATTTCGTTTATGCTTTTACAATAAAATTAGAGTAATATTTCAAATAAAAGTGATGCGGAATTTATTCCTAAATCAAAATATGATAAAAAAAAATTTTATCAAAGCATTTTTTAAAGAAATGTATTTTCATTTCAATAGGAACTTGGGATGTCAAAATCGATACATACCAAAAGCATAAACAGTACAATATTGGCCTTACAACATTTATTTACATCTATTGGCCTATAATCCAAAATCCCTCGTCATCATCCAACTATGATCTTGTTCCACTACCTATAATACAGAAAGCTGAGTGGGTCAGGTTTGGGAGCCTGATGAGCACATAGGAGTATATATGTCCGTAAGCCAACCATAAGGGGGATGAAGTACACCGGTGAACACACCTTTCACAAATACCTACATGTTGTGATCCTGCTAGCATTCCACTGGACTATCTAGAAAGGTCCGTCGTCGTCATCTATACTCCTCTAGATGACTGGAACATCGACAAATTCGAGGCCTCTCATCATTTTATTTCATCACACATCAACTATTTCATCTACCTATGTTTAAAGAATTCTAAACATGTATAAAACATTCATTCAACAATCATCTCAAATAAACAAAGAATATATATACACATAGCACGTATTTTATATAAAATACTTCATATCTATGTGTAAGATGAAAGTGACTATACACTCACCTTAGTAGCATGACTGGATAGAATCTAACTAGAAACAGTTAGTGGTTCATGATAGTCGAGCTTAGGATGCGGAACAGCTTCAACAAACGAGAGAGAGAAAGATGTGTTTTTTGTAACCAAAACAAAGAAGGCGATCCTTCTATTTATAGTCCAAAATTTGGACTCTCACGTCATGAGAATTCATTGCTCACGTCGTGAGCCATGCATCATCACCTTGTAGCTTTTCCATATGCGTTCTAGGCTTGCATCATGTTCATTTGACTCCTCACGTCATGATAAATCCATTTCTCATGTCGTGAGATTTTAACTTATCATCCCATATACTAGCCATGCGTCTTATAGATTTGAAATGTTTCATTTTGACTCCTCACATTGTGAGAATTGATGCTCACATCATGAGTCCAGTCGGATTAGGGTTTCTGACATGTGTCATGCTCTCAGACAGCTACCTCTTCGGAAGGCCATAACTTCTGCATTCGAGCTCCGTTTTTTATGTTATTTATATCCACGTGAAGGTGGAGACGTACTATACAACTTTCATTAAGAATGATAAGGATAAAAAGTACTCATTCATAAACTCAGTTTTTTACGACTCCTGGTGTTGTGCCGGTTTTGTCGCGAAACTTTAACAGGTCATATCTTCTTCGTTATAACTTGAATTTCGGCGTTCCTTATATCTCCGGAATCCTTGTTACGACCACTACAACTTTCTTCATAGGTATCAGGTTTACCTAACATTTTATTTTTATCCATAATTTATTATATCATCTTAATTAAGTATAAGGTACATAACTTCATATAATTCATTTATTAGTTAAAAACAAGTTACAATAGTTGACCTAGACTATTACATCATCTTTAAGTCTTAGCCTAGAAACAAGGGCATTACAAATTTTATGTTCAGGATTTTAATGAGACACTTGTTTCTGTACCTTTCTTCGATATTCAAAATCGTATTTCTTTTGATTGGAGTGGTCTTGATAAAATGTTCTTACCCAAGACATTTTTCCCTACAGGATCCAACACTTACTTGTTTTTGAAATATGATTTCCGTTTGAATATCAATTTGTTTCTTCGTCACTTACAAATTTTTCTATACTTTGCTTGTCACAGAATACACTGGTCATACAAGTAATTTTGATCATTGAATTCACACTTAAGTTAAGTTGTGATCATTAACAAAATTATGCCTACCTTTGAAGCTTGTCTAAAAGAAGCCCTTCGATACTTCTTTACAAGTATTCGATTGTAATTCACGGGATACCACACAAGCAGTTTGATATCTCTGTTGATATTGAATGAAGTGATATTTGCATGAGATTCATCTGCTTTTCCATCAAATGATTATTTCATGTCACTATTTGCACATTTTTTTGGTTCCTACTATTTTGTTGGAACACAATAGCATAGAAATCCTCGAGGTCTTGGGTATTACCAACCCAAACCTAGATTTCAAAAGTCTAGCAATGATTTCGTTTCTAACCCAACAGCGAATGAGCCCAGACTCATAACAAATGTTTTTTGACGGTTCTTATCCTATTGGGACATGAAAAATGATTGATTGATGTGACAGTTTGGTTGCTTCACGGTTTTCAAGGAAAAAGTGCTTATCACTTTTTAGGCGTGACGAGTTTTATGACAACTGGTCCATTTTTCAAGGGTAAATGTGGCATGAATTTATTGCTAACCACTTCAAAATTAAATTGAGAACTAAATATAAAAGGATTTTGCGGATTCCAATTTCAAACTTTACATATTCTGGTTGAAGATTTTCCCTTTTTTTCTTTCCTTGTACTTATCTTTTCTCTCCAACCTTCAAACCCTAACAATTATTGAAATTGCTCATGTCGATCCTTCTCAAACAACTGACGAAGCTTCATCTCAACCATTGTTGAAGTTTCAAACTTTAATGTACACGATATAGCCAGATGTTACAAAATATCTAGAAGAACTACAGATGTTGATTATTCCTCTTAATCACTCAATTATTTCTACTATCATGACTGCTTCTTTCTTTGTTCCAACGACCTAGTTATCTTTGGTCGGATCAACAACTGTAGTCAATAAGACTTCTAAAGTGGTTAGATTCCAGTTAACCAATGACAAGAAGTACAACCTTATGAAGAAAAAGTTCGCTCAAATCCTAAGGATTCCTACTGTTGAATCTTATTATGAGGTAACCAATGAACAAGTTATTCACATGTTCAATGAGATGGGTCATCAATGCCCACTCACCAAGATAAGTCACTTTAAAAAGTTTCCTTTACCATGTATGTAAAACTTCATATTTAGGATTTTTCTTCGCTGCTTGATGGGTAGAAGTGTGGGACTTTACAAAGCTAAACTTGAGGTTTATGCTAAGATTACTGGTCTTTATTAGAATCTTTTTGTTAATTATGCAACACAACCATGGGAGGAGTTTGGTGCCAGTATTTCACATACGAATGCTACAAATGATGTTTCGTGTGCACGTTATTGGATTTTGATTTTGCAGCAGGTCTAAGAGAAAGAAGGGATTCTTGTTCCCACAGGTGATCCAAAAGCTTAATTTGTTAATTTCCAACATCCCAAGACTGTTGAAGATGATTTGGAAGCATTTCCTACTATTACATAAATTTCGGATTCCATGCTTCGCAAGGTGGATCTGACGCATCCTGTTCTTGTTGCATATCTTACCACTATTAATCCTTATGTCGAAGTTGGGGTGTTATTAGCGAAGGGAATTGGAGGAACTTAAAAGCATGGTAAAACTTCTAAAAATTCTTCAAAGGTTGAAAAACCTCAATCTGTTCCTGTGATAGCGGAAAAGGAGATAACAAATCCTGTTAGCGAACCTGTTCCCAAAGAAACAGTGCCATCCAAATCCAATATTCTTAAGAGGTTGAAGAAACCTTCCCATAGACCTCGACATTCACCAGATCCGAGGCCTATTATTGAAGAAGTTCCAAAGCAGACGCTTTCTTCGCCTAAGGGGTCTTTTGTAGCAAAGCTACAAAAAATTTGAGAAGCCCAGATTAATCAAAAGGGGGTGGTTATTCGCAAAATTCTAGCTCCAATTTCTCCTACATCTAAGAGCGAAGGGAACAAGACATTTTGAATAAAATTAAAAAAAAAAGAATAAGAAAATAGAAGATTCAGTTGACAAAGTTGTGGTGGAGACAAATATTGAAGATGAAGATACTCTATCTTCGATTCGAACTAAGGATGTGGTCATTGCATCACCTCATAAGGGCTCTCCAATCAGGTAAAATATCGAGGCGAATAGAATTCCTAGTGTCTCTATGAAAGCATCTTTTGTAAACAAAACCACTAATATGGGTGATCCTTCAAATAATTCCATACCTAAGCAAACACAAGTCATACCACCCGAAGTATCGATAGCTGAATCAGTTTCTGAAGAGGTTCGCACTTCAGCCATCCTTATGAACATATCTTATATGGACACAAATGTCAAAAGGGTGATGGGTGTCGACTACCGAAGCCCAAGGTACATATTCCATACAAACTCCATATGTTCCTGTTTCCATTATTCTTTCTTCTACAATCGAATCAACCATGATGGATACTTCTACTTCCTTACCACCTTTTGTTACTCCTACACTCACTTCACTACCCGATTCATCAATCTCACCCACTTTTTCAAACATTATGGATCAACCCATCACTTGTTTTTTTCCTTCACAATCCACCAAAGGAGAACAATCTATTACTGATGGTAGTCAAGATGGTGATGATGTTATGATATCTTTAGCTGACATCCAATTTGATCCTGAGGAGGACAATATTCTGTACCACATGATTATGTATGGTAAATAGTTCAAGATCCTCAATATCAAGTTGAATTCTTTACTACAACGTCAAGTCGATGATGGGAGTCGAAATAGTGTGTCTGGAATCGTAGCGGATGTTTTACTCAAAGCTCAAGAACATTTTTTATGAACTGTTAGGGAACAAATTGAAAGAAAAATTGAGGAACGTTGGAAGCATCAGTCGAAGTCTTTTAATCATGAAGTTAAGGATTAGAGGTTTTTTGCCAAATAATGACATATTCTCTTTGTCGTATCTGTTAATAAAGAGAAGGAAAATCTAAATTTCAAAGTTGAAGATCTCCGTAATGAGATGACGAAGGAGGTTGTTAAACTTGATCAAAATTATTCCAATATTCATACGAAGATTGATATAATTGCTGATGTTGTTACGAAGGTTTTTGATTTCTATAATTCTCTTGTCACCAAGGTGGAACTGAAGTCTGCATATCATTCAAAAGTTTTTGCCAAACTCGAAGAGTTATTGGGGAGTTTGAAGGAATCACTGTCCAGGATTATTGTGTCTCCTTCCTCTTCTATTTCACAGGAGTCGCTTTCAACTTTATTTTCTTCGTTGGAAAATAATCTTAAGGTTGAGATTGCTCCTTTGTTACGAATGGTGAATTTGATGCCAACTAATGCCCCACATGTTTCCCAAGTGGTGTAAGGGGGGGGGGGAGTAGGGTCTTGGCATGGGTTCTTCAAAAGTTGTTGGCACTGGTTCATTAAAACATGATGATACTAGAAAAGTTGTTAGAAAATTGATCAGTACACAACTTACATCTTCACTTCCCACTTTGTTAACAACAACCTCAACCACCATGACTTCAACACCTTTTACCAAAGGAATTTTCATTGGTTCTTCTGGTGGAAGTTCGAGTTGAAAACCGCAAATTTCAAAAGAAGCAAAAGGTGATAAAGGGAAGGGGACCGAGCCTTCTACTAAAGAAAAGAAGAAAACACAAGAAGCTGAAACTGAAAGGTGGAGACAAATCGACAGTATCATTAGTCAGAGACAAAATGATCCTCCTGGTCTTGAGAAGGGTGATCCAACTAAGCCTGTTTGTTTCGAGACTATTAGAGACATAGTTGTCAATGGGATCTTGCATGACTTTGAGAAAGTTCCCAAAAATAGTTATGATACTAAAAACACTGACTTCAATCAATTAGATTTTCCTATCAATAAGATGATGTTTATCTCTCATCAGTATTAGATTGTTGATAAGTTTGAAGATAAGAGTATGGGATTTCGACCATATCCTTCAAGGTATGGATAGTCCGCTTGATCTGACCATCGGTCTGCGGATAAAAACTTGTGCTAAAGTGCAACCAAGTACCCAAATCCTCATAAATTCTTTTATAAAACCTAGAAGTGCATCGAACATCCCTATTTGAAACCACCGAGATTGGAGCCTCATATCGTGCTACAACCTCTCGGATATATACATCTGCTAACTTCTCCGCTGAGATGCTCTCCTGGATCGAAATGAAATGCATACAAACTTTATTTTTCTCTCAAGAAATAACTCAAATCCTCCTTATATTCATCCTTCCAAGTTGGTTCTTAGATTTTTGGTAAGCATTTATTTGATTATCTAGTGATTTTACACACATTCATACTAGTTTTTGACATTTACACACAATAACATGTGTCAAAACCCATAGAATAATACCATCTTCAAGTGTTCTTTAACCACCTTCATGTGTTCTAAGCTTGAGGATCTTCATCTTCATCTCTTTATCCAACCAAAAACACACTCAAGGTGAGTTCATATCCCATATTTTGGAGATTTTCATGCTTTAGGGGGGGATACAAGAAAATTTAGAATAATAACACAAATGTTTGCATGTTTCATCTCTATTTTGTGTATAAAGCATTATTTGCATGAAATATGGTTATTACTAGTTTTTAGAACATTTATTTGTGGTATGATAGTTTGAGATTCGAAACTAAGAAAAACAAATAAAATCCATGTTATATGTTCATAAGAAAAAGTTATAACTACAAGGCTAGAAACACTAAGATTTTTACGTACAAAATATGCCTTTTCTAGCAAAACCAGTTATAACCTAGTTATTATACCATTTTTGTGGACATAGGTTTTGAAACTAGACAAAAATATCAAGGAGTCAGCTTTAAAAAAAGAAAACTAAAAAATCTATCATTTTATGTAAATATAGATTTTCAAACAAAAATGGTCATAACAAGTTTATGCCATCATTTTTGTGGGTTTTGACTAAAAATATATGGTTTTAAACATATAAGGTTAACTTGAGTTAAATACCCCAAAAAGCTGAAAATAAGTTTTACAAAGTTATATATTACTAGTTATAGGTAAATATCGTTAAAAAGGGGCCAAAACCTAGAAATTGGTTTTATTGTACTAAATGTTCTTATACTTGTGTTAGATGTAAATTTATATGACATAATATTTTATAACATCTAGACATGTGAACTTATATATGTGTGTGTGTGTGGGTGTGTGTGTGTATATATATATATATATATATATATATATAGATGAATATGAATATATAAATGTACTTAACAAAACATTTATAATAAACTATAATTGATATAGTTTATGGATCACAAATACTACTTTATCATTTTGGAAGAAACATATAATTATTTAAATGTATAATTATTTTACACTATATATTTACTATGGGAATGCGATATTCCCACTTAGAACAGGGTTTTCATTACACTATACGTAAACTTATTGATGCAATTTTGTGAGTCATAGTCTTGAAGTACCTACCAGAGTACCTATAAAAGTCTTGTATTATAACCAGAATCTCCCGTAAGAGAGCGTGATACTTGTGTACATATCTATTCAGGACCGATACTCCAGCACCTAAGCTGCTAGCTGTAGTTAGACCAACGGGTTTAGGGTGACAAATGTCTAACATTCTGATGCCTAAAGAATGTTTTAAAAGGCCATATATGTCTTTTAACACAATTATAATAACTCCTATGGGGTATTAACAATACATTTGGTTTACAGGGTTAATATACATTCAAATGGTTTTATACAAGGATAAAAAACTACATGATACTATTTTCCAGTACAACACTACTTATATTTTTGGTCTTAGGTTTAAGACTTACAACTCATTTTTAAAGAAAATATTGGGTTTTCTGAAAGCGCACTCTATCATTTTACAAGGAAAAGTTACCGATTTTTCGCATACAAAACTCTTATGAACTCACCAACTTAATTGTCGACACTTTTTCAAAACTACTTGTATTCTCATGAAATCCGTAAATAGGTTATCAAATAGTTTTTGTGGATGGGATGTCACATCGTCACTGTCACACCCCCGAAACCGATGGCGTAAAACATTCCAGGGCGGAGGACGTCATGTAAAGTATCACAACCAATGTACATAGCAACATTGTAAACACAACCATTACATTACATAGGAATATTTACATTTGTTTGAAAGCAAAGTAATACATGTTTTATTTATACATCAGTACGAACATAAGTAAAGACGAGACTTCTAAACGCTCTGTCTTCTCCAAAAGAACGCGGGATACCTGTCTAACGAGAACCTGAGAATACAAGCAGTTTTAAAAATACCAGCATAAAGCTGGTGAGTTCATAAGTGGTTTGCTTCTGGTGAAAGAGTAAGTTTTCCTTTAGTTTTATGAAAAAGGTTGTTTTCCAAGAAAATCCCATATTTTCTTATAAAAGAAGTTTAGTTATCCATTTGTTAAACAACCTGTTTATGAAAAGTTATATTATCCTAGGAAAAACCCTTATTTTCCTTAAAAGTTGGTGGTTGGTTATCGATTCGGAATGAAGTGTACAAGTATCTACCATACTTGTAGCGTTAAGTGAAGTATCCTGAAAGCCTGGTTATCCTCCTTGAAAAGTACATTAGTTTTAACACATATATAAAACAACTAAGTAGGTAGTAAACTAATTCCTAAGGGTATTAATTTACTAAGTTCTTTATTACTTAAAAGTAAATCTCCATTATCTAAGTTTGCGAGTTCTATAACCATACGATAAACTAGATATGGTAAGTAAGAAGGCCAATATCATTTTATGACTTTTGTCACCCGTAGACCTGGCGGTCCCACTGTAGCTAGCAGCAAGGTGCGGGGTAGTCAGCCCTGTATAGATCTATACACTCAAGTCACGCTCTCCTTCCAGGAGATTCTGGTTATAGGGGCGGTCCTCCACTCGCGTATCTCTGTGGAGTGTTTCTGAGGACGTGTCTCCAATCTTAAGAATAATGAATTTACAAGTAATAATACGGAAAATTCTATTTTATGAATGACATGAAATCCTTTGTGAAATATAAAATATAACATTTTATAATGAGTTTCACAATTAGTTTGAAAACTAACTCTGCAAGTTAAAAGGTTGGTTAATATGGTTTTCAGTGTTAAAAGCATACTAACATGTAACTATAACATACGAAATAATAATTTGTGAGTACAAGTTTCCTTGTACTTTTGCTTGTATTCCCCCCTGAAAACATGAAAAACACGGAAAATGGTGTAGGGGTATGAACTCACCAGACGAGAATGGCCAGGTAGGATGCTTAGTGTCAGTTTAGGGATTGAACACGAGCGAGGATCCTATGTAACATGAGGAGATACATAATTGTATCTAATTAGACATTGAACTACTAATTAAGTAAGATAATACACTCCGAGGTGCGAAAACACTTTTTCTCAAGTGTTAGGAATGATACGGGTTGCATCTAAGGGGGTGTATGGCCTAGCTATGGAGTTTACTCTTCAAGAGTAAACTCTTAGAGGAGATTACAGTCCATAGAACATATATGCATGAGTTTACGGTCGTAAACTCATGGGTGGAGTGTTCTTGGTTGCTCAAAGGTCTTATAACACTTGGGGAAATAAGCTAGGTTCAATTCTAGGGCATAGGAAGTGACTAAGGCTTTAATTGGACCACTTTGGGGAGTTCACAGCTGTAAACATAGAGTTTACAGTTGTAAACTCTTACTTGGCCCTTCATTTCATGATTTAAGGTCTCAAATGAAAGAATACAAGGTTCTATGCATTATTCCAAGCCATATGGGGGAGTTAGGGCATCATTTGACCTCCTTAAGGGAGTTTACGGCCAAAGGACCATTCCGTTGGGGGTTTACAGCTGTAATCCCTTTATGGTCATGTTTTCTTTGAAGTTTAAGGTCCCTAATTCGATGGTGGTTGGTTCTAGACATTATCCCAAGCCATAGGAGGTGTTTAAGGGGCAACTTAACACCTTAAAAGGTGTTTAACGGCCTATGAAGGGGTGTTTACGGTCCAAGAATGTTCTTGGGCCATAAACTCATGTTTACTCCCCAAATGACAAGATTTTGGTGTTCTAAACTCATACATGCAAGTCCGTAAGCCATAGCTAAGCACTAGAAAGGATTTGGAAGGGTTTTGGGGCTTCAAAACCCCTTTTATGGGTGTTTGCGGTTTGGGGTTGTTCTATGGCCGCAAACTCATAACTTTGAGGCATTTGAATGATTTAAACACGAATTTGCATGCAAAATAAGCTAAACAACAAGCTAGGATAGATCACTTACCAATTTGGAGCTTAAAAGGGGTGTTTTGGATCAAAATTTGAGTTGTAGTGAGAGAGTAGAGAGAGTGTGTTAAGAGGGTGGAAAAGCTTCAAATGGAGGTCCACTCAC